TGGAAGGGACCTTGGAGGTCATCTAGTCCAACCCCCTGCTCAGGCAGGAAACCCTATACCATTTCGGACAAATGGCTGTCCAGTTTCTTCTTAAAAACTTCCAGTGTTGGTGCATTCACCGCTTCTGGAGGCAGGTTGTTCCACTGGTTAATTGTTCTAACTGTCAGGAAGTTTCTCCTTAGTTCTAGGTTGCTTGTCTGAGATGGTATAGGTGCTCCTGTTTGAACGGGAGGGGGGAGGGGGATGGACTAGAAGACCTCCAAGGTCCTTCCAGCTCTGTTCTATTCTAATTAGCAGCAATATATATCGAGATTTTTCCCCACTGAAAGTCTCTCCTACCTCTGTCTATTGCGTACGTATGTACTGTACATACATGTACAGTATATATGTATCTTTTTTCTATTTCTATTATTTCTACATTCTTTCTATCCTTATCTATTTCTGCCTATTGTCTAACATCTGTCTCTATCTCTGGCTGGATAGAGATCTAATCATGTATTCTGTTTGTGTCATCCATTCATGCCTAAATCCATCTATCTTAAAAGGTTTATATACTGTAGCTTCTGATATTGTAACCACAACCTTTAATTAGGAACAAATGAATCTATCCATTCCCCCGTTATGGCTGTATCGAGTGGAGCATGGTGCAAAAAGAATTATATTAAGAAATTAGGAAAGTGGTATTATTCAAGAGGCGAAGAAAGGGTTGTGATCTGTCTGTTTTGGAAAAGGCAATATTTTTTACTAATCAAAGGATGTAGCAGTATGTATTTCTATGGCAGATATTCTGTGATATCTTATAATTTTTTTATTGTTCAGATTATATTAGCAAATTTATTGGTAATCCAGTGGCTATTGATAAGTATATTAATTAGAGGGTTTTTTTCTTTTCTTAGTTTGTATTTTAGTTCATTCTTTTGATTTTTTTTTTGTAATTTTCTTTTTAAAGATGAAGTATTTGCCATCTCTGGGACATCCCTGGGGGACCAACGCCACTTGCTCGCTCACTTCTTGCCCTGTCGCTTCCAAACGCCATGTGATCGCTACTCTGGCGAACTCTGCTGGGGCAACGGCGCACGTGCCCACAGAGAGGGCTCTGAGTGCTGCCTCTGGCACACGTGCCATATGTTCGCCACCACTGCCCTATAACATTTCAGACAAATTCTCAAGCTGGATATTGACACACTGTGAGGACCAGTCGAAATCACATTTTCCCCTACCCTTGTAATTTCAAATGGTCACTAAACAAATGGTTGTAAGGTGAGCTGTATGAGAACAGGTGATCCTGAATATTATACCACAGATTTCTGGGTGCGTGTTTTGATTCACAGACTTTCCTGAAAAATGTGGTTTTGTGCTTATCCCAGTGCTAGTTCCGTTCACAGTGAGCATACTGTGTTACTGAAATTCACCAGATGGTTTTTTTCTTCCAACTATCCACAGCCTCTGCAGAAAAATGTCCCGGTGATGAAGGGTAGCTGTCATGACGGAGTCGGTGATGAAACTCCAGAGAGTGCAGCTGAAATGCAAGAACCTTCACGAATACCTGCGAGGTCTCAGCCCTGGGATTTTGGATCGGCTGTATAATCATCCTGCCACTTGTCTTGCTGTCCTTCGGTAAGGGAGAATCTTGTCTGCCCTCAACTATTAGAATTTTGGCCAGCTGGGGATCAGATTGGAGATTAAAAATCCAAATGCATTAACTTTATGTATTTGAAGGCACATACCTTGCTCCTGGTTCTTGATGTTGGACCCAGGGTTTTTGCCAAATAGGCTGTCAGACCTGCCACCACTTAAACCTTTAAATAAAAACGATCCGTTTGTTGAGAAAAGCACTGTTATTAGAAGCCAAGTGCGTTGCAGTAATGCATAGCCAGAACTGAGAATCATATGCCAAAATCATTAAGTTCAACTTTTCCCTCCCTTAGCTACCTTCCATTGTCTATCCTCCCCCACATACGTAGTCAGGTTCAGGCAGGATGTTTTCCTAACAACCAGTCCAAGCTTAGGATGGTATGCAGCTGGTATGCGGGTGACCTTGAAGCAGCCTCTCAAAGAGATACAGCATTCACTTTCATTTTCCCCCTTGCCTTCCCCCCTCCCCTTAGTTCAGTGTTTCTCAACCTTGACAATTTTAAGGCATGTGGACTTCAACTCCCAGAATTCCACAGCCCGCATTGCTGGCTGTGGAATTCTGGGAGTTGAAGTCCACATGCCTTAAAATTGTCAAGGTTGAGAAACACTGCGCTTAGTTCATGGCAGTCTGTCACTATAGCCCAAGGACAGGCAACCTTAGCTCTTTTATGACTCCTGGACTTCAACTCCCAGAATTCCTGAGCCAGCGTGGCTCAGCTTGGAAACCTCTCCCTTTCCCCTCAGCATGGCTGGCTCAGGAATTCTGGGAGTTGAAGTCCACGAGTCATAAAAGAGCCAAGGTTGCCTACCCCTGCTAGAGCCGAAGCACAAGCAACCATTAAGGTGGCAGCTGAAATAGACTCTGGCAGACCTTGCCTGGCTATGAAAAAAAAAACACTTATTTGTGACACTGACCTTACATTCTTCTCTTCTCAGGGAACTGCCTGGGTTAGCCAAAAATTATGTCATGCGGATGCTTTTTCTGGAACAGCCTCTTCGCCAGGCAGCCGTGGCCCTGTGGGTGAAGAAGGAATATGTCAAGTAAGTTTGTAGCTCAAGCTCTGCTTGTCTAGCAAAGTTTTTTTTTAAAAAAAAATGATGATTGCTCAAATGAACATTGTAAGATTAAATTTATACTTTGCATTGAGATATTCCGTAAGTAGCAACATGGCTGGCTGGTACAAATAAAGCTCATGTTCATTTTCATTTATTTAATAAACTTATTCACCGCCTCGTTTACAATGACAACTCGAGACATCTAACATATTAGGATTTTTAAAAAAAAACCCTCAAAAGCCACAACGGTAGCAACATACTAATAGAAAAAATTATTTGTAAGTCAGGGTTGACCTGTGGAGTCCTTGGCGCTCTCTGAGCTTGGTTGCTTTCTTGCAGACGTTTCACTACCCAACTAGGTAATATCATCAGTGCTAGAAAGGAGTGGGATTTGCTGTCTGTTTATATATAGTCAGTGTTTATAGACCTGTCAGTGTCGGTGGAAGTGTTGTTTTCTTCTTGGTAGTTCCTTGATTAAGGAGTTGCCGTAATTACTCTTAGTTGTCTTAATCTTAATTAACTACCTGAATCAAGGAACTACACTTCCCAAATTCATGATGGGCTCTGTTTCAGGGAACAAGAGGAGAGCTCGGATATCCTGCTGGGACTGCGCCTTTGGCACACCCAGCTGCTTCCAGGGGGCCTCGAAGGGATCGTCTTGAACCCCATCTTCAAGGAAAATCTACGCATCGCTCTCTTGGGAGGGTGAGTGAAGGCCGTCCAGATTCTTAAGGTTGGAGAGTGAAGGCAGAGGCTCATAGAAATTACGGCACTGATGAAGATGGAGATGGTTTCAGACCTCTGAAAGGGGTGTATTTTGGGACCCTCCCACTTCACAGATGGGCAGCAAACTAGCTACTGTGGGGTCAGATGTCTATGGAGATTCTCAGTCATCCAGGTCATGGATGATGATGATGATGATGATGATGATGATGATGATGGAAGGGATCTTGGAGGTCATCTAGTCCAACCCCCTGCTCAAGCAGGAAACCCTATACCATTTCGGACAAATGGCTGTCCAGTCTCTTCTTAAAAACTTCCAGTGTTGGAGCATTCACCGCTTCTGGAGGCAGGTTGTTCCACTGGTTCATTGTTCTCACTGTCAGGAAGTTTCTCCTTAGTTCTAGGTTGCTTCTCTCCTTAATGCAACCCAGAACTAAGGAGAAACTTCCTGACAGCTTTAATTGTACAATTTACATTTATTAACCTTTTAGAAGTTGTACTGATAATGTAAACCTCTTTACATTATGATGACAACCTAACAGTGATTGGGATTTGCACACTATGTGTTCCCTGCTGCTTCCTCGTGGCCATGGACAGCAAAACAAACCATTAAAATCAATGTAATCTGAGGGAATCTTCAAAGCATGCAGCATTATTGGGCTATGGAGTACAGAACATTTTGAAGAGCTTCAACCAACAATATTTGGTGCTCAAGTCCTACCATTTCCTTCAGAAATCAGGGAAGGCGTTAACTTTTGCATCCAGAATTTACAAAAGACCCATTGTGATGTAAATGAAGAATCCTTACAAATACTCTTGTGTAGTGGATGAGGACATTGCTAGTGCTATCCTACTTTCTCATAGCCTATAAATAATAATGGAGTTTCTTGCTTCTCAATTCTGTGTCCGCAGAGGTAAAGCCTGGTCTGATGATACTAGCCAACTGGGCCCAGATAAGCACGCCCGAGATGTCCCATCTTTGGATAAGTATGCAGAAGAAAGGTGGGAGGTGAGCATTTTGCCTTCTCTCAGTAGCCTGATTCATTATGGGATGCATTACATTATGGGATCCTTGACTTACAGCCTTAAAGTCTTTTGTTTAGTGACTGTTCAAAGTTACTGTCGCACCTGCCCCAACGTGGCCTTTTAGGAAAGAAAGACTCCTGACTCCATTCATAGTGAAAAGTATACTTTTACTAAAAGCCAAGTGGATTACAGGAAAGCAGAGCCAGAACTGAGATTTAGCTGCCAAAGATCCCCAGTTAACTTTTCCTCCATCCCGTTTCTCCCCTTGCAAGTCCTCCATTGTCCAATTAGGTTCGAATAAATTGTTTTGGGAATGGTCTCTACTGTAGCAGGTTAGTTGGTGAGACGTTCCATTCCATTCCCAGACTTTGACCTTGGGATGTTGTCTCTGGATGAGCGGTCGGTGTTCCCACACACAGAGACAGCTTGTGTGTCCCCCCCCCCGCCGTCCCCCATGGCAGGCTGGCAGCAAGCAAGACGAAGCTGAAGGGTACGAGGGCAACTCTTGACAGTTACAACAAAAAAAGTGACTTACGAACAGCCCTCACCCAACTGTTGCAGCATCCTCACAGTCATGTGATCAAAATTTGGACACTCGGTAACTGGCACGTATCTCGGATGGTTGATCCCAGGGTCATATGATTGCCATTTGCGATCTCTACAGGTGATTTCCAAGAAGCAGAGTGAATGGGGAGAAGCCAGAGTTGCTTAACAACTTAGCTGTAGAGATATGCTTAATAACTATGGCAAAAAGGTCATAAAATTGGGCGTGACTCACTTAACAACCATCTGGCTTAGCAATAGTGATTCTGATCCCAGTTGTGGTCATAAGTCAAGGACTACCTTAAAAAGACCGACTTTGTTGCAGTGCTCTCCTACCGCTTGCCAGTAAAGTCAGCCAAGACTGCTGCTTCCTCTCCTTCCTTGCCTGGGTCTAGTTCAGGGGCAGGCAACCGTGGTTCTTTTATGATTCGTGGACTTCAACTCCCAGAATTCCTGAGCCAGCCCTGCTGAGGGGAAAGGGAGAAGTTTCCAAGCTGAGTCATGCTGGCTCAGGAATTCTGGGAGTTGAAGTCCACGAGTCATAAAAGAGCCAAGGTTGCCTACCCCTGGTCTAGTTCAAAAGCCTTCCTTTTGGGAAAATAGCAGATTAATCATGCAGAAAGAAGATCTTCTGATATGCTTTGGTTAACATTGTTCTTAGCACTTTAAAATTTCTTGGAACCTGAGAATTTAGAATGGTGTGTTTCCTTCTAGGGAGGATTAAGCTCCTGTTTGAATTCACTCATGATGAAACACCATTGTGTTTCCTTTTCACCAGGGGAATCCATGTTTCTCTCTCAATTCCATACTATCCCTTTACCTCAGGTGGTCTGTATGGTCTTTTAGTAGCATTTGCAGTGGCCTATTACTTCATACTTCATATAATTTCAACTGAGAGTAGTTGCCATTAGAAACCAGGATCCCTCAATTGGGTCTGTCCTAGAATTCTGCCCATCAAAGAAATACACGCTATAATGATGAGTGGAGTTACAGCCATTCATAGAATCCCCTCTGACCAGGTGGCCTTTCCATATGGTGCATGGCCCACAATGAACTGACTTTACCAAACATCACTGTGGACATAGTTCCACAGGCATCGCAATTTTCTTCTCTTTCTCTGCACTGTCCAATTTAGGTCATCCTGCATTTCATGGTAGGCTCTCCTAGTGCAGCGGTGAGTCAGGACCTGGCTCAGCTGCTGATTGAAGCTGGCCTGATGAAGAGGTAAGTGTCACAGAGAGAGAGAGAGACATGCAAATCAACCCCTTCCCAAAGTATTTCTTCCAGCCTTCAAAAAAAAGCCCAGTGTCTGTTTTAAGAACAGTTGAGAATCCTCAGATTTGACATTAGGAGAAAAGGACCTCTGTGCAGAAAGACGGGGGTTGTATTCAGACAATATGTTTGCCCTCTGATCATGATGTACTGCAGAAGTTCTCAAACTATGGGTTAGGACAGTGGTGGCGAACCTATGGCACGTGTGCCAGAGGTGGCACTCAGAGCCCTCTCTGTGGGCAGGCGCCCCGTTGCCGCAGCCCCACCTCCCCCCACAGCCCCCTCCTCACCAGCAGCCTGCCCGGAGGAGAGGCTCCCCCAGGCGCGGCCCACGCAGAGCAGCGCAGCCAAGCACATGGCAGCTGGGCAGCAGGGGCAAGACGCCGCCCTTGCGCCCCATCACGTGCAGATGATGCTGCGAGGTGCAGGCAGAGAGCGTGGCTGCCATGGCAAGGCGGCCTGGGGCGATCTGTGGTGAGTGGCTTTGCAGGCGGGTGGAGCAGGGGGCAGAGCGAGGGCGGGCCGGGGGGCGGGCCAGTTTTTGGGCACTCGGTCTCTAAAGGGTTCACCATCACTGGGTTAGGACCTTCCTAGGGAGTGGTCTTGAGCAACTGATGAGTAAGTATCATTTTTTTTAAAAAATCCTGGTCAGGCTTGACTAGATCAAGGATCTCCAAGCTTGGCAACTTTAAGACTTGTAGATTTCAAGTCAGCCATAGATTTGGAGACCCCTGGTCTATATAAAGTGAGGAGACTGGTGTTTTGCATGCAGAGAGCAAGAATCCTTGTAACATTTATATTTTAAATGTCACATTTAAAAATTGGTATATTTATTTCTTGCCCAACAAGATTTCCAATCATTCCTTTTTTTCAATAGCCACATTGTAGAAGGTTATAGTACTACCGAAACAGACTACACACAAATATTGAGTACATTTTTGGGGAGGGGGGTGGAGTTTGGACAACATACTGAGTCATAAATTCATTGCCCAGGTTAACTTTGCACACAATCGTAGGCTTATGTGGGGTGAGGCAATTGGTGTGTTACATTGCCATAACTCATATCCCTGAGAACAAGGGATGGCGAAACTTCTACAAAGGACTGGGTGATTGGCACCAGGGAAAGATGGGAGGCACAGTAATTAGTATGGACACACACACACACACACACACACTAGTGGAATGGATGGAAACTAATCAAAGAGAGACCCAGACTAGAAATAAGAAGACATTTCCTGACAGTTAGAACAATTAATCAGTGGAATGGCTGATCAGTGAACACCCTCCAGAAGTTGAGGGTACTCCAACACTGGAGGTTTTCAAGAAGACATTGGACAACCATTTGTCTGAAATGGTCTAGGGCAGGGGTCGGCAACCTTGGCTCTTTCATGACTTGTGGACTTCAACTCCCAGAATTCCTGAGCCAGCCATGCTGAGGGGAAAGGGAGAGGTTTCCAAGCTGAGCCATGCTGGCTCAGGAATTCTGGGAGTTGAAGTCCACGAGTCATAAAAGAGCCAAGGTTGCCTACCCCTGGTCTAGGGTCTCCTGCTTGAGCAGGGGGTTGGACTAGAAGACCTCCAAGGTCCTTATTTTGTCAGACGTGAACACTCAGATAGTGGCAGGATACATAGCATGTCAATCCCCTGTAGCATCGGGGAACAGAAGCCACTATCACTGTGAACCATGTGCAAATTGGGTACAACTTTGCAAAACCAAGAACAAATTTTTCTTTTCTGGATTTTTTCTTGAGTTACTCTTCTTCCCCCCAGTAGTGAGCCTGGGGAACCTCCCTGCATCACATCCTCTGGCTTCCAGTTCCTGTTGCTAGATACTTCATCGCAGCTGTGGTACTTCATGCTCCAGTATCTCCAGTCAGCAGAGGTGAGGAGAAACAGTGCCATCTCAGCTCTGGTTATTCTGCCCCTTTCTTGTTTCTGCTTCTAATTCCTTTTTCCCCCCTTTTTTTGCATCACTCTACAGACCAGGGGCATGGACTTGGTGGAGATTCTTTCCTTTCTCTTTCAGCTCAGCTTCTCCACACTTGGCAAGGTGAGAAGGGTAGAAGAAGGAACTTCTCTCTTATCTACCGTATGAGCAACGTTCGTTGGTGAGAAGTTGGGTTATATATTAAGTCAATAAGCGAGTAGAGTAATTATTACCAATGTGGTGTTCTGCAGAAGTTTAGGACGCTCTATAAAAGGAATAAAAAAGATATAGGAAGAGAAAAGTCCCATAATTAGACCATCTAAGAACAGTACCAGCTTGGGATAATCTCTCCGTTCATTCCACCCGTATTGTTTACAATATCCCAACTTTATTGTCATTTTTTAACATGAATCTCTTGATTCATTTATGTGTGTCCCTCTGATCATTTTGCTGACCTTTGCAATATCCTAGTACAGGGGTAGGCAACCTTGGCTCTTTTATGACTCGTGGACTTCAACTCCCAGAATTCCTGAGCCAGCATGGCTCAGCTTGGAAATCTCTCTCTTTCCCATCAGCATAGCTGGCTCAGGAATTCTGGGAGTTGAAGTCCACGAGTCATAAAAGAGCCAAGGTTGCCTACCCCTGGCCTAGTCCATATCTACATAATGGTGGCATCCATTCAATTTAACTCACCTGTCCCCGAGTAAAGAGCCCAAGTCTGTCCTCTGTCTCTTAACCTGGTAAGAGAGGAGCTAAGCACAGGGGTCTTCAAACTTGGCCCTTTTATGACTTGTGGACTTCAACTCCCAGAATTCCTGAGCCGGCATGGCTCAGCTTGGAAACCTCTCCCTTTCCCCTCAGCATGGCTGGCTCAGGAATTCTGGGAGATGTAGTCCACGAGTCATAAAAGAGCCAAGGTTGCCTACCCCTGGCCTAGTAGAATAGGGGGTTGGACTCGATGACCTCCAAGGTCCCTTCCAACTTTATTATTATTATTATTATTATTATTATTATTATTATTATTATTATTATTATTATTATTATTCATTGCAACTGCATCATTGCTATCTATGGAGGCTTCGTAGCCCTTTGCAATGCCTTCATAGTGTCTTGGGGGCAGAGGAGTTCCCTTTCCATTTATAAAGCTCTTTCCAGTGACTTTCAAGAGACCATTTTTTACAACTTGTCGACGAAACCACTTGTATTTCTTATCTATTTATCAGTGATGGGCAAAGTCCTCTATAGAACAGAAGAATCTTGAATAGGAGGACTGTCTCCATTTGTAGTAGCTTAAGTAGACTTAAAAGAGACTTGGTGTTAAGTCCCCTGCTTGATCACCAAAGCACTGGATCACTTTGAGCCAGTCACTGAAGCTTAGACTTAGCCGTATATTACAGTGTTTTTTGTTGTGTGGGTAACATTGGAAGAAACTCCCTTGTTAGGCAAAAGCTTAAGGAGAAAAATTTGGAAATGAATTTAGTGATGAAGAAAGCAGAGGTTATGAATATAATAGAAAATCTGGCTTTGTTAATCATCGTGAATGCAAGGACTGCTGTGCACAAGGTTGGTTCATGAAACTAACCCTATAGCTGCAATTAGGGGGTAACTGCTCCTTGAATTAACCCTAATTAAAGTTTCACATCTAGATTATATTGCGTTACTAAGCTAAACAATAATCTCTGAGGGGTGAAGCTGAAAGGCACAGGGTCTTGCAAGCGTAGAACCTAGAAAATTGGAGCAATTCCTGACAGTTGGAACAATTAACCAGTGGAACAACCTGCCTCCAGAAGCGGTGAATGCTCCAACACTGGAAGTTTTTAAGAAGAGACTGGACAGCCGTTTGTCCGAAATGGTATAGAGTTTCCTGCCTGAGCAGGGGGTTGGACTAGATGACCTCCAAGGTCCCTTCCAACTTTATTATTATTATTATTATTATTATTATTATTATTATTATTATTATTATTAAGTGGCTGTGCAGAAATAGTGCATTTGCTAAATGCTCAATTTAAATTATGACATTACAAGCATATCTTAATTGTTCAGAAAACAAAGCATGACTGATGTCTGCCCAGACATGTGTTGGCTTATATGCATTCATCTTTGAATAAGTGCAACCTCAATAGTTGACTCTTAACAGGTAAATCAGCAGAAGAATTCTTGCAGTGCCTCCCAAATGTGATCTGGTTGACTATTCATAGCAATTCATCTACTGGTCCTTAAGCACTAATTGATCAAGATGTTCGTGCAATGTACTTGCCTGTGAACAAATTCTTTTCCAATTTCTTTGTTCTCAGGATTATTCTGTGGAAGGAATGAGTGATTCTCTTCTGAATTTCCTTCAGCATCTCCGGGAATTTGGCCTGGTGTTTCAAAGAAAGGTATAAAACAGTAGGGGGATTATATGAGGAGTTGAACCAAAGTTTTAAAAAAGATGAATTGTCTTTTTTATATTAGATATTAGAGCATTTAGGAATTTCTTCAAGAATCTGGAGTTTGTGAATTGAAATTGTAGATTTTTTCTTCTGAAAGATATACTGTTAGGCAACTCTGAACTTGCCAGAAACTTGTTACTAATGTCTTTCCTTCTTTCTTTACAGAGAAAATCCAGGCGTTACTATCCCACCCGCTTAGCTATTAATCTTTCCTCCGGCATCTCAGGTACCACCGTGGATACCCATAATCAAGGCTTCATTGTGGTGGAGACAAACTACAGGATCTATGCATACACAGGTCTGAAACCACACTGATTTTCATCCTTTGTAGGCTCATCCCTGTTCTAATTCAGAATTGGGAATCGGTGCTTCCAACCCATTTTTTAAAAAAATTCTCTTGGCTGTATAACACATGGCCGAGCTTTTGCTTTACTGACTGAGGGAAAAAAGTATTTAGCCACGATCACTTTCTTCATGTGACATAGGACAATATTTCTTGAATTGTCTGCTATCCTGATATAAGTCAGCTTCTGAAAGAAAGTGTGGGGACCACCCCATTAAATACACTCCATTAAATACATTAAACAGGGGAGATTCCATTATTTGAAAATACTTACTTTCCATCCCTCTGTTTTAAAAGGCATCTTTTAGATTAAACTTTGAACCAAAAGATGTAATCCAAAATTAAGTATTAATTTGCCCTCTTGGGCAGGGGGGGAGGGACAATACTGGCTGAGGAATTCTGGGGGTTATAGCCGAGGGGTCTGCAAATTTGACCCTTTTATGTCTTGTGGACTTCAACTCCCAGAATTCCTCAGCAGGCATGGCTGGCTGAGGAATTCTGGGACTTGAAGTCCACAAGTCATAAAAGGGCCAAGTTTGAAGACCCCTGGTAGAGCCCATACATTAAAATGGCCAGAATTGAGAAACACTGAAGTATTTAAAGGACACCAGACTGGAGAAGGCTGCTCGTCTATTTTAAAGCAGTGTTTCTGAAGCTCAGCCATTTTAAAGTGTGTGGACTTCGACTCTCAAGAGTTCCTCAGCCAAGCCACACTGGCGGGGAATTCTGGGGTTTTTTTTAGTCTACACACCTTAAAGTGGCTGAGCTTGAGAAACCATGTTTTAAAATGTTACATTTCCTTCTCTCTGTGCTTATTTCCAGATTCAGAATTACAGATTGCACTAATTGCCCTCTTCTCTGAGATGTTGTATCGCTTCCCTAACTTGGTGGTGGCTCAAGTCACCCGAGAGAGCACACAGCAGGCCATTGCCAATGGCATCACGGCCGATCAGGTGAGGATAGGTTTAAAGGGGACGTCGGAGTTCTGCTCTGCTTTTCTCGGCTGGTTGGGTGGCGGCTAAAACTTCAATGACGGAGTCCCAAATAGAACATGCCTATGTTTATGATCCTCTTTTGCTACAGATCATTCATTTCCTACGGACAAGAGCTCATGCTGTGATGCTAAAACAGGTGAGGAAATGACCACAGGAGATAAAGGACCCAATGGATTACGACGTCAAAGAAAAATGTCGCTCTTTGTAATAGTTTACAACATAATAGTAGTAATAATAGTAATAGTAGTAGTAGTAGTAGTAGTAGTAGTAGTAGTAATAATAATAATAATAATAATAATAATAATAATAATAATAATAATAATAATAATAATAAAGTTGGAAGGGACCTTGGAGGTCATCTAGTCCAACCCCCTGCTCAGGCAGGAAACTCTATACCATTTCGGAGTTCCAGTGTTGGAGCCTTCACAGCTTCTGGAGGCAGGTTGTTCCACTGGTTAATTGTTCTGACTGTCAGGAAGTTTCTCCTTAGTTCTAGGTTGCTTCTCTCCTTGATTAGTTTCCACCCGTTGCTTCTTGTCCTGCCTTCAGGCGCTTTGGAGAATAGCTTGACTCCCTCTTCTTTGTGGCAGCCCCTGAGATATTGGAACACTGCTATCATGTCCCCCCTCGTCCTTCTCTTCGTTAAACTAGACATACCCAATTCCA